TATGTGAGTTAACACACCAATTTCCCTTATGGTAATTGGAGAAATGCTTGGAGTGACTCTGCACGCATGCGGAATATAGAATAGGTGCTAATGATAATGAAACGAAGTGTAAACTATGTGGTATATTAAGGTCTCACACCCTCGGCTATTATGTTCTTGATTTTCCGTTGATTAATGTATGTAGAAACGCTGAGATAACAACTGTTCCTGAACAAATAGCCTGGATGTGTCACAATGGAAAGATTGATGATATTCTGGAGAGATATAAGAATTTTGCACCAAGATTGAAACTTTGTTGAATTGTCTGAATGTCTATTTGCAAATTATATCTATGAATCTAGTCATAAAAGTATTTGTGTGAACGTCTGGTAACATACTGCAAATGTAAAGAAAGAAATGTTTATGTTTAACACTCACAATGTTCCGTAATATGTTTATTGTTTGTGATGTGTGTCTATGTATATATGAACACTTTGTACTAAACAGGGTGAGAATAGCTTGAGCTACCTCATTCCTTTGTGTGTATTTATACCACAATAAACATATTTCAATTCCAATTTTAATTTCAAACACCTCTGCAGCCTGCTTCAGTAGCCATGGTGATATTAAGTCTAGCCTAATTGGTTTCATTGCATCCAGTTCCTTAAATTGTTTTTAACCCCTTCCACATTGACTACTGTTATGGGCCCGAGTCCAGCGTCGGAGCACAGAGCAGTGACAACAACGCCATCTGTGAGTCCGCTCCCGAAACCCCCTCCAAATGGACGACGCCATCTAGTGATGACGAGAGACGCCGGCAATACGTGCTGGATTCCCGTCTTAATTGGCTCGTGGAATAGCCGCTGCTGACCTCTGGTGAGGTGGCGCTTAGACAGCAACGCCATCTATGGAGTGAAGAGGTGGACGTTTGTGTCTAAGCCTGTAAGTGAGGTTCCCTAGAGCGTCCCAGTATTAATGACGTATCTGATTGCAGAGTCGACCTGGGACTGCTGTGTTGGACGATGGATCAGTCTACCCAAGGCAGCCAAGGTCTCCTCACCAGTCTGCTTTGAAGAAGCTGTGAGCCATCCCTGGCCGAACTCTGTTGAGAGTAATAGCCTGCCTGAGGAGTGGCAGTGTTGGGAATCGCCTTATCCGGGGTTGGCTGGTGGAGGAGACCACCCACTGGGGTGCTGTATGAAGAGAGTGACCAGCGAGTCACACGAGGCTCCCGGCTAGGGCACGCAGCCCTAAGTATCGGTCGTGGAGTGGTCTAAACAGCGAGGCTGATCGGTACCTGCCAGCTACAGACTGGATTGTGGTTGAAGGCCTCCACGACGAAGCACCCAGTGGGACTGTGATTTGGCTGGCCTGTGGCCGGGGTAGATTCGTCATAGTCATAGTGGATTCATCGTGGGCCACGGAAGAAGGAACCAGGGCTACCTAGAGTGAGCATCGTTGAGCATCCAGTGTCTTCGGAGGAAGACGCAACTGTACATAAGTGTAGTAATAATCCCCGCATGCGACTGTTATTTATTTATATATGGTGGTGGTAAATATATCAGAAAAACTGGAACATTTGTATCCCTCCCCCTTTAATTTAACTTGCGTTATGGAACACACCCCTTGAAAGCCTCTACTAACTTGGGGCCGGATTCCCAAACTCTACTACCATCAGAGAAGAACCTGGTTGCGTCCCAGTAGGGCCATAACAACTACTATGTCATCCAGTGTTTCCTCAGACCTTTCATCACTTAACTTTGGTCACTACATTACATACCTCCTGGAATCTTATGTTGAGTTCCTCACATACCTCTTTGTCTTTTCCAGTGAGACTTTTCTCTTGTCTACTTAACCTTGTCATGTGTTCTCTGTTACTTAATATGATTATAAAACAGATTAGCTGCAATATAATTTTCAAATTGTCTCTTAGCTTCACTTTTGACTCAGGTGTAATCATTTCCGGCTCTCTTTAGTGCGCCTCTTTCTTCCTCTGATCCTAGCTCCCTGTGTTTTTTCCTTGAGTTTTTGTTCCTCTCCTGTGCTTCTCTGTACTACCTATTAAACCAGGGATTAACTATGCCTTTTTTATTCCACCTCCTTCTTGAGTGCGATGCGCAACTCCGTTGCCCCTACACATTTCTGAACAATAACTTCAGTCATCTCATGTGACGTCTTCCCTACCAGTTCCCTCCCCCACTGAACTTCACTCGGTGGGAGAGGGAACCATCACTATACTGTACTCTCCACGTCTGTGGTCTCTCATATTCCTTAGTGTGTTTCTTGATTTATCAGTTCCTTTACCATCAATACCGCAGCATGATAATACAGTGGGCACTTGTCCCTCGGAGCATCTCATACTCTATCTCCTCTAAATTTGCCTCACTTGGGCAAATACAAAGTCTAGTGTCGCCGGTGGGTCATCTCCTCTTACGCTTTGTGGTTCTCCAACATGTTGTTTTAAGCAAAGTTCGTCTGCTTTGTTCAAGAGTTTTCCCCTCCATATTTTTCAAGTCTAATTCTGTGTGACTGAAACCTCCAAATATTAGAATCCTTCCAGAGGTGTAGGGTTGGTGTCGCCAGTCATGAAGGTGGTGTAAGGTTGGTGTCACCAGTCATGAAGGTGGTGTAGGGTTGGTGTCACCACTCATGAAGGTGGTGTAGGGTTGGTGTCACCAGTCATGAAGGAGGGGTAAGGTTGGTGTCGCCAGTCATGAAGGTGGTGTAAGGTTGGTGTCACCAGTCATGAAGGAGGTGTAGGGTTGGTGTCACCAGTTATGAAGGAGGTGTAGGGTTGGTGTCACCAGTCACGAAGGAAGTGTAAGGTTGGTGTCACCTGTCACGAAGGAAGTGTAAGGTTGGTGTCACCAGTCACGAAGGAAGTGTAAGGTTGGTGTCACCAGTCATGAAGGTGGTGTAGGGTTGATGTCACCAGTCATGAAGGTGTTGTAGGGTTGGTGTCACCATTCAGGAAAGTGTTGAAAGGTTGGTGTCACCAATCATGAAGGTGGTGTTGGGTTGAAGTCACCAGTCATGAAGGTTGTGTAGGGTTGGTTTCACCAGTCATGAAGGTGGAGTAAGGTTGGTGTCACCAGTCATGAAGGAGGTGTAAGGGTGATATCACCAGTCATGAAGGAGGTGTAGGGTTGGTGATACCACTCATGAAGGAGGTGTAAGGGTGATGTCACCAGTCATAAAGGTGGTGTAGGGTTGGTGTCACCAGTCATGAAGGTGCGGTAGTGTTGGTGTCACCAGCTTTGAAGAAATTGTAGGGTTGATGTCACCTGTCATGAAGGAGGTGTAGGGTTGGTGTCACCAGTCATGTAGGTGTTGTTGGCTTGGTGTCACCACTCATGAAGGAGGTGTAGGGTTGGTGTCACCACTCATGAAGGTGGTGTAGGGTTGGTGTCACCACTCATGAAGGAGGTGTAGGGTTGATGTCACCATTCATGAAGGTGGTGTAGGGTTGGTGTCACCAGTCTTGAAAGTGGTGTTGGGTTGAAGTCACCAGTCATGAAAGTGTAGGGTTGGTGTCACCAGTCATGAAGGTGGTGTAGGGTTGGTGTCACCAGTCATGAAGTTGTTGTAGGGTTGGTGTCACCAGTCATGAAGGTGTTGAAGGGTTGGTGTCACCCGTCATGAAGGTGTTGTAGGGTTGATGTCACCAGTCTTGAAGGTGATGTAGTGTTGGTGTCACCAGTCATGAAGGTGGTGTAGAGTTGGTGTCACCAATCATGAAGGAGGTGTAAGGCTGATGTCACCAGTTATGACGCAGGTGTAAGGTTGAAAGTGTGTCACCAGTCATGAAAGTGTAGGGTTGGTGTCACCAGCCATGAAGGTGATATTCGGTTGAAGTCACCAGTCAAGAAGGAAATGTAGGGTTGGTGTCACCAGTCATGAAGGTGGTGTAGGGTTGGTATCACCAGTCAAGAAGGTGGTGTAGGGTTGATGTCACCAGTCATGAAGGTGGTGTAGGGTTGGTATCACCAGTCAAGAAGGTGGTGTAGGGTTAATGTCGCCAGTCATGAAGGTATAGGGTTGGTGTCACCAGTCATGAAAGCGGTGTAGGGTTGATGTCACCAGTCATAAAGGTGGTGCAGGGTTGATGCCACTAGTCATGAAGGTGGTGTAGGGTTGAAGTCACCAGTCATGGAAGTGTAGCATTGGTGTCACCAGTCATGAAGGTGGTGTAGTGTTGGTGTCTCCAGTCATGAAGGTGGTGTAGGGTTGATGCCACCAGTCATGAAGGAGGTGTAGGGTTGATGTCACCAGTCGTGAAGGAGGTGTAGGGTTGATGTCACCAGTCATGAAGGAGGTGTAGGGTTGATGTCATCAGTCATGAAGGTGGTGTAGGGATGGTGTCACCAGTCATGAAGGTGGTGTTGGGTTGGTGTCACCAGTCATGAAGGTGGTGTAGGGTTGATGTCACCAGTCATGAAGGAGGTGTAGGGTTGATGTCACCAGTCGTGAAGGTGGTGTAGTGTTGGTGTCACCAGTCGTGAAGGAGGTGTAGGGTTGGTGTCACCAGTCATGAAGGTGTTGTAGGGTTGGTGTCACCAGTCATGAAGGTGTTGTAGGGTTGGTGTCACCAGTTATGAATGAACTATGATTGACAATATATGAGGCATGATGGTGTTGGGAAGACGTAAACGAGATAATTGTTGTTAATAAGGCAGGCTTCTCCATGAGTATGAGACTCTGAATGTAAATATTTACAGTCTCGTTCTTAATTTCGCAAAACACTTTAGTTTTGCAAATATATTAATATGATATTATTATTTTTTGTGATACGCATCCCAAGCGTCGTGTAGACCTATACGTAGTTTTACCTCAATAAACTTATTTCAATTTCAATTTCAATTCGCAGTTGTATATTATTAACCGGAGGATCATTATACACATTATACGCCTTAACGATAAATGCTGAAAACTGACGAAAGAGAAAACAATAAAAGAACTACGCCCAGTATATCTGAGGAGTGAGAGATAAAGCAAACGCTTTAACTGTGAGGGGCGAGGAGGCTCAGTCGCCCTCGACACCCTACCCCTTCCACACCTGCTGCCTCACAATCCCTTCCACAACCACCACCCCCGTCACGTGAGTGTATTGTTTACTTTCATAAACAATGCCACATTGAAACTTTCAGACGATGCTTCTGCTATACCTTGATATCTACCTTGAGATACAAGTGTGCTACCATAGTGAAGCTTCAGATGTATGCTCCCCAGGTGAATCTTCAGATATATGCTCCCAGGTGAATCTTCAGATATAATCTCCCAGGTGAATCTTCAGATATATGCTCCCAGGTGAATCTTCAGATATATGCTCCCAGGTGAAGCTTCAAATGTATGCTCCCCAGGTGAAGCTTCAGATGTATGCTCTCCATGTGAAGCTTCAGATTTATGCTCCCCCAGTGAAGCTTCAGAGATATGCTCCCCATGTGAAGCTTCAGATGTATGCTCCCCAGGTAAAACTTCAGATGTATGCTCCCCAGGTGAAGCTTCAGATGTCTGCTTCACAGATGAAGCTTTAAATGTATGCTCCCAGGTGAAACTTCAAATGTATGCTCCCCAGGTGAATCTTCAGATATATGCTCCCAGGTGAAGCTTCAGATGTATGCTCCCCAAGTGAAGCTTCAGATGTATGCTCCCCATGTGAAGCTTCAGATGTATGCTCCCCCGGTGAAGCTTCAGATGTATGCTCCCAAGGTGAAGTTTCAGATGTATGCTCCCTGGTGAAGCTTCAGATGTATGCTCCCAGGTGAAGCTTCAGATATATGCTCCCCAGATGAAACTTCAGATGTATACTCCCGGTGACGCTTCAAATGTATGCTCCCCCGGTGAAGCTTCAGATATATGCTCCTCAAGTGAAGCTTCAGATCTATGCTCCCCAGGTGAAGCTTCAGATGTATGGTCCACAGGTGAAGCTTCAGATGTATGCTCCCCTGGTGAAGCTTCAGATGTTTGCTCTCCCGGTGAAGCTTCAGATGTTTGCTCTCCCAGTGAAGCTTCAGATGTATGCTACCCCTGGTGAAGCTTCAGATGTATACTCCCCCGCTGAAGCTTCAGATGTATGCTCCCCCCGGTGAAGATTCAGATGTATGCTCCCCTGGTGAAGCTTCAGAATATGCTCCCCTGGTGATGCTTCAGATGTATGCTGCACTGACGAAGCTTCAGATGTGTGCTCCCAAGGTGGAACATCAGATGTATGCTCCCCCGGTGAAGCTTTAGAATATGCTCCACTGGTGATGCTTCAGATGTATGCTGCACTGATGAAGCTTCAGATGTATGCTCCCCAGGTGAAACATCAGATGTATGCTCCACCGGTGAAGTTTTAAAAGTATGCTCCCCCGGTGAAGCTTCAGATGTATGCTCCCCAGGCGAAGCTTCAGATGAATGCTTCCCAGGTGAAGCTTCAGATGTATGCTTCCCAGGTGAAGCTTTAGATGTATGCTCCCGTGTGAAGCTTCAGGTGTATGCTCCCCGGTGAAGCTTCAGATGTATGCTCCCTAGATGAAGCTTCAGATGTATGCTCCTTAGGTGAAGCTTCAGATGTATGCTCCCAAGGTGAAGCTTCAGATATATGCTCCCCAAGTGAAGCTTCAGATGTATGCTCCAGATGAATCTTCAGATGTGTGCTCCCCAGGTGAAGCTTCAGATGTATGTTTATCAGGTGAAGCTTCAGATGTATGCTCCCAGGTGAAGCTTCAAATGAATTCTACACCAGGTGACGCTTGAGATGTGAGCTCCCAAAGGTGAAGCTTCAGAAGTATAATCTCCAGGTGAAGCTTTATATGAATGCTTCCAAGGTGACGTTGCAGACGTATGCTCCGCAGGTGAAGCTTCATCTGAATTCATCCATTGTTAAGCTTCAAATTAATGCCCTACGAGAGAGGCTTCAGATGAATGCTCCCCAGGTGAAGCTGCAGATGAATGTTCCTCAGGTGAAGCTTCAGATGAATGCTCCCCAGGTGAAGCTTCAGATGAATGTTCCTCAGGTGAAGCTTCAGATGAATGCTCCCCAGGTGAAGTTTCATGTGTGTACTCCCTATGTGAAGCTTCAGATGAATGCTCCCCAAGTGAAACTTCAGATGAATACTCCCCAGGTGAAGCTTCAAATGTATGCTCTCTCCAGGTGAAGCTTTAGATGATTGCTAACCAGGTGAATTTATTTATTTACTTATTATTTATATATTTATATGTATACAAGAAGGTACATTGGGTTTGTGAGAATACATGGCATAGTATTTACAATCTTGTAAAACCAATCTTCCTCAAGATAGGAAGATAACTACTAGTTCGCGCAGCATTTCGGACAGGTCCTTAATCTAACAGATAATTTTAAGTAGGTAAATTCAAGCAGAATTAATAAAATGATAAGAGATACATTGCATGAAAAAAAATGAGATGAGAGAGATAAGTAGGTATATTAAAGCACATTGGTAGCTCTGGTTGATTGCAATGACAGCTTGATTGGTAATTTAAACAAAGATTAATAGGCACCATACAGGAAATTGATAGCACATATAAGAAGACAGCAATGATCACAATGGTAAAGTTGTTTGCATTAGGTACATAAAGATTGGGAAATTGGGTAGCTCTAGATACAGTGCAATTTTAAAGCAACAAGGTAGGAAACTAGGAAGAGGAAATTAGGTATTTTTTATTTTTATTTTTGAATGAGGCAAAAGTTTGAAATCTTTTCAATTCATTACGAAGTGAGTTCCATAGACTAGGTTCCTTTATTTGCATAGATTGTTTACGCAGATTAAGTTTGACTCTGGGGATATCAAAGATATATTTATTTTTGGTGAGGTGATAATGGGTCCTATAACATCTGTCTATGGAGAGTTTCAGAGCATGGTTTGCATTTAAGAACAGGGTTTTGTAAATGTAGTTAACACAAGAGAATGTGTGAATGGAGTTTATGTTTAGCATGCTTAGAGATATAAACAAGGGAGCTGAGTGTTGTCTGAAAGCAGAGTTTGTTATTATTCTGATAGCAGATTTTTGCAGGGTGATGATGGACTTGAGGTGGTTTGCAGTGGTTGAACCCCATGCACAGATAACATAATTAGGATAGGGATAGATTAGTGCATAATATAGAGAGATGAGAGCAGAGTTAGGTACATAATATCTGATTTTGGAGAGTATACCAACTGTTTTAAAAACTTTCTTTGTTATGTGTTGTATGTGGGTACTGAAGTTGAGTCTCTTGTCTAGGAATAGGCCAAGAAACTTTCCATAATTTTTATTACTAATGTTAACATTGTCTATCTGAAGCTGAATTGTATTTGTTGATTTGCTTCCAAATAAGATGTAGTAGGTCTTTTCTATGTTAAATGTTAGTTTGTTGGTTGACATCCATAAGTGGACTTTTTTTAGTTCATTATTAACAACATTATTTAGAGTATGTGGGTTGGGGTTAGAGTAGATGAGGGTAGCATCATCAGCAAACAATATAGGTTTAAGAATAAGAGACGTTAGGCAGATCATTGATGTATATAAGAAATAGGAGAGGTCCCAAGATGCTGCCCTATGGCACTACAACGGTTATTGGAAAAGTGGGAGAGGTAATATCATTGATGGCTACACATTGGTGTCTATCACTAAGATAGGATTGGATATAGTCCAGTGCATGGCCTCGGACTCCATAATGATGGAGTTTACGTAAGAGATAGTTGTGATTAACAATATCAAAGGCCTTTCTCAGGTCAATGAAGAGTCCAATCGGAAACTCATTTTTGTCCAGGACTGAGTAAATTTTACCAAGGAGACTAATAAGATATATTCACAATAGTCGTCTCTATCACTGATGACACTATTGCAGATGAAGGTATCTTTGTAATATATTGCTGTGCCACCTCCTTTTTTATTAGGCCTGCAGTTATGAATGACTTTATAACCAGCTAAATTGTAGAGTTGGGTATAGTCTTTACTTAGCCAAGTTTCTGTTAAAATAATGAATTATAATTTAGTACCTAGTGCTGTGAGTAGTACATTTATATCATCAAAATGTTTACCAAGTGATCTAACATTTTGGTTGTGAGCTGATAAGCAGGTGCTATTTAAGAGTTTGTTTTTTGCAGGATTTGCTGTGTAATACCTGCAATAATGATGATCAATGTGCTGATTGGTGTAGATATGAGACAGAAGATTTCGATCAGGATCAATATCAATATGCATATAGATGCAATGTGGTCACGATACAATAAGAAAAGCAATTACAGGAACAGTTAAATACTAAATCTGCTGTAAATAGAAAGTAATAATAGCAAAACACAACAATAAATGCAAGTACACAAAAAATAGAAACAATTAGAAGTGGAATAAAGATCACCGTAAATAGACAGGAAGGATACAGTAGTTAGGTACAGAGAGAAAACAAAAAATCAGTAGTCTGACAAGATTAATATATAGCAAAAATGATAAGACAAATAATAATTGTAAAGTAAAATAATCTTCAGATGTATGCTCCCCAGGTGAAGCTTCAGATGAATGCTTTTTCAGGTAAAGCTTCATATGAATGCTCCCAAGGTGAAGTTTCAAATGTATGCTCCCCAGTTGAAGCTTCAGAGGAATGTTCCACAGGTGAAGCTTCATATGAATACTGCCCAGGTAAATTTTCAGATGAATGCTCCCAAGGTAAAGCTTCAGATGAATGCTCCCCATGTGAAGCTTCAGATGTATGCTCCACAGGTGAAGCTTCAGATGAATGCTCCCCAGGTAAAGCTTCAAATGTATGCTCCTCAGTTTAGTGCACAGATGAATGCTCCCCAGGTGAAGCTTCAGATGTTTGCTCCCTAGTTGAAGCTTCAGATAAATGCTTCCCAGGTGAAGCTTTAGATGAATTCTTTTTAGGTGAAGCTTCAGATGTAGGCTCCGCAGGAGAAGCTTCAAATGTTTGCTCCTTAGTTGAAACTTCAGATGTATACTCCCAAGGTTAATTTTCAAATGAAGATTCTTATCAGGTGAAGTTTCAGAGGTATACATCCTCCTCAGGTGAAACTTTAGCTGTATGCTCCCCAGGTAAAGCTTCGGATGAATGCTCCCAAGGTGAAGCTTCAGATGATTGGTCCCAGATTAAGCTTCAGATTA